GTGACACACTGAATTTAATATATTTTATTAAGACTAATTCTGAATGGAAAAGCATAGCTAAAATAGTGCCTTTGGAATCTTATTTGCAACCTTCTATTCCCTTCTATTCCCTCAGCTCCCCTCCTTCATTTTATGTCACGTTTCAAAACTGGTTTCATGGTAATAAAATCAAAGTCATAGGTCTCTGGCATGCCCTTGTGGAGAGTTTTGTTGAAACGGTTCCAGTGAAAAACAGGGAGGCCACCTTGTACTGTGGGACCGCTAATGGCATACGCTGTATACGCTGACGCGAGGTAGATATCTGCCACCTGGAAAGCGAGAGGAGAGGGACATTTTAGAAAAGCGTTCGGAAAAAACTAGATTCTTGTTTCTCCTTTTTTTTTTTTTTTTGTCCTGCTCTTTCTCCAAAGTCACAATATTAGCCCCCTTTTAAAATAAAATATCGCAAGCTTCCACAACATGCTCTTCCATAACCATTTGGTATTCAGATGTGAATTGAGTAGAAGTGCATTAACATAGCCAAAAGTGTGAGATCTGGAGTCAGAATGCTCATATTCAGAATTCTAGCTCCAAAACGTGTTTAAAAATAACCCCTATAGGACTCCGTTTTCTCATTTGTGAAAGGGTTTTAATAACCATACTTCATAGAAGAGTTGTCATGGGGATTAATGAGAGCAAATGCTTGGAGCAGTGCCTAGAATATATTCTTCAGCAAAAGTTGTTACTAATCAGGGCGGTAATAAGAGTTTTAAAGTAGAAGGAACTCAACATCCAAAAACGAGGTCCATGGGTTCTCAAAAGCATCTAACCACTGGGTAGCAGCAAATCTTAACCTCAGGAAAAAGATGTCTCATAGCTTCTGATTTTCCACATATTCAAAATGGCTCAAGGAAAATGATAGTAAGTATATCCTTCAACAGAAACTCTTTTGATGAAAAATTGGCAGACTCCTCTCTCCAGAAGAAAGTAAAACTTGGCAGGTCGAAGGTCGGCTTGGGTTCTCTCCGGTAAGGCGGCAGTCATTCTCTGTGTATCTGGGAATGGCTAGAACACTTCTTGCACGCTCTACTGAATGTTTGCAAATACCATTAACAAGAAATAAGCACTCACTGGGGTTTCATGCGTGTCAGGCTTTCTACACCCACTGAATTTTACTTTACACAACACATTGGGTCTCATTAAAGCTAGAGCTTTGGTATCATCATATGGCTAAAAAGTAGCTTGAGTAGGAACTAGACTATTCTAAAGCATCTTCTGTTTAGGCATTAGGCTGATAGAAAAAATTATGTGTAGGGGGATCAGCATTCTTAACAGTTAACTCCACTTCTAACAGATTTCTCCCAGAATTTAGGACTGAAAGTGCAAACAAAAAGACAAGCCCAAACCAGGAGTGCAAAAGGACGTGGTAGAATATTCTTTTCCACCAACCACATGGCTAACTCATACCCTCGGACACCCCAAATCCAGTAGTGTGCAGGAAAGTTTTTAATGACCACCTCTCTTGAGAGGAAAAAAAGACCCTGATTTGTAGTGTTTGCTGATTTGCATGGTGTAAATACTCCTCCATGGCTGATTTCAAGCTATCCACATGATGTCAACGGATTTTAACAATTGGTTCTCACAAGCCCTTATGAGCTGGCTTCAGCCCACCACTGCAAATAAGTAATGCTTATTTATTACCTATATTAGGAGACGCATTACAGCACTTAATAATTCTAACATGGTGAAAAACCTTCAGTGCTTGTCCAATAAACCTGTTCCTTCAGCTAAATTCAGTTCCTGTTTAATGTGAAATCACACTGCTTCCAATAATAGGTTCTTTGGACTTTGGGCTAGTCTGGTAAAACTTAAGACATCAACATCATCATCATCATCATCATCGTGTCCATTTACAAATAACACAACATCGGTACTAAATATTCTTCACAACAATCCTATAAGGCAAGTACTGTTATGTCCATCTTACAGATAAGGAAACAAATATTCCAAGATTATGGAATTTTCTATTAAGTGGCAGGGCAGGGCATTAAAGTTAGGCAATGAGACCTACCACCAGAATCTGCAAAAGCTGATTCCTGAATTGAATTTATGGTCAGAGACAATATTGTGTTTTATGCCACAAAAATCTCTGCAGCTTTGCCTTTGGATAGGCCTAGGTGCAGGTAAAAATTAAATTCAAAAGCCAATTCGCATGTTACCTTTGTGTCATAGCAACCTCCAGGACTTGGGCTAAGTGAGTTCAGGTCTTCACGGCAGCAGATGGTATTGCAGGGATCGCCCTTAGTGTAAGGATCCTTCCTATAATCTAGGAGGAAACAGTGATGGGGAAGAGGGTGAGTACTGGTTGTTCTGGGATACACCTGCCCACAGGAAGCCTTTGGACCTGTTCAAGTCTAGATAATCAAGAGTCCACCCCAGTGGCCTCATTCACCCAGCCGCTCTCAAGAAACTTGCACAGTGAAGAGTGGATGGGAGAGAGAATAAAGGATAAATGTGCATCACTATTTTTCTACAAAATAAATACAAATTTGATACTGTTCATCAAAAACAAAGTATTTATGAATAATTTTTGTTTTATTAGCTGCTTCTGTCCTTGGAAGAAAACCTGTGTTAGGGTTGAGGGGAAGTGGTAAAAAAAAAAGTACTCTGTATGGGTTATTGCCTCTGTGTTTTATATATTCTTTTTTTCAGTGAAAAAAATCTGTAGAATCTTCTTCCATGGCATTTTATAAAAGAAGACAAAATTCTATCTTTCGAGTATAAAATATGTATAGTATTGATTGAATACTAAAAACTTCTTATAATTCCTTCTACTGCTGAGATGGATTCTTAAAGTGGGAAAACATACACGGATTCTTTATTCATGCGGAAGAAAGGGAGTTTTGAGGAATGATTCTTGAGAAATGTGCTACGTACTGTTGTATCGCATGATATATTTCATGGATGCCATATCAGTCACGTCCCCTTGGTCACGCCGGAAGATTTTGGCTCGTGAAGCCATATCATAGGAGTACTCCAAACCCAGCTTCTGAACTAGCATTGGATAGCCACTCCAGCTGTAGATTTTTTCATGGAAAGGAATGTTGTAGGAGGGCCAATATCCTGATTTGGGATGGAAGGAAGGAAGGGTGAGATTGACAGGGAGACAAAAGAGAGATGGAACAAAAGAAATGTTATTAATGATAGTTTCTTTTGAAAATCGGCACAGGTGTGTGATTGCAAAATGATATTATAAAGAAAATAAAGCTTTGAATGTGAACACTGGCCTTCAAACTGATCCTTTTAAACGTACAGAATCAGTATACCTCTAGATGATTCCATTAGGGAAAGAAGAGCATCAGAATTCTTTGGTTTTCACCCAAAATTCTTTCTTATTTTTTTAAAATATTTTATTTATTTATTTGTCAGTGAGAGAGAGTACAAGCAGGGGGAGCACTGGGGGCAGAGGGAGAAGTAGGCTCCCCACTGAGCAAGGAGCCCGACGCGGGGCCCCATCCCAGGACCCTGGGATTATGATCTGAGCCAAAGGCAGGCGCTTTTGGACTGAGCCACCCAGGCGTCCCTTCACCCAAAATTCTTAAAGCAATCTATTAACCAGAAAATAACCTTATGATCTGGATAACAAAATGAAGTGTAACACAGAGCAGTCTGGGGAGCTGGTTTAAGTGAACCTGGTTCCTGAAATGTCGAGATAGTTTCACAGTGTGGCCCTAACAGGGAATAGGCCAGGTGCTAATCATGGGACAGTGGAAGAATATAGTACCTAGAGTTCAGAAAACCTAGGCTCAGGGCTAAATCACCAGGTCTTAGGCAGTTAACCTCACTTATTTTCTCCTTTTAACAGGGAAAGGAGAAGGAAGAATCCATAATTTGAAAAGACTGGAGATGATCTTTAAGGTTCCAGCAGGCTTTAACTTCTTTTTGTAAGCGTTCCTTAAGGCTTAGTTTCACCCCAAGCTTCATAATGTGCCAAGGCCATAGAGCACATTCGTCACTAAGTGTCAGACATGTGACACAGCTCTAGTACAATCAATATTTCAGGAACAGCCCAGATTCCAGTGGCCTGGGCTATTGTTTATAGGACAGTTAGTCAACGCAGGGACTCTTCCACCATTCAGCGTTTATTTCCCATCCCCCATATTGTCTTGGCCTTTGTCTGCCTTTCTCCCTTTTGACTGTTTTATAGGATCCCCTTGGTAATCATTATGCTTGGTAAGCATTAGATGAATATTAACTATTATAATTATTATACTTCTCTTTATATGAACGCAGTTGAAATGAATAATCAAAATGGCTGCTTTACACATCACATTTTCATAAAGCTTCATGATTTACAAAAACATTTAGAGTATCTTGTATAATCTCACAACAACCTAATTATGTATATAAGCATTACCATCCCTCCTTATAAAGAAAGAAACAGAGGTTCAGAGATGTTCAGTGCCTCCCTTCTGACCAAGGGCTTCCAGCAATATAGCACAGCTGCTTCCAAATTCTAAGAGGTTTGTGGAACTTTCTGTCTTTTATTATAATGGCTATGTGACATCACGTAAGTATTTGGGCAAATCACTTTCTGAGCCTTTCTTTCCTTACAGTAAAATGGTAACAATGCTACTTATCCGGAAGTATCTTAATGAAGATCAAACAAGAGAACATAAGTAAAAGGCCCGAAAGAGTGCCTAGTATATAGTAGACAATGAATTTAACTCTCTGTTCTTCCCACCTCCGGCAAAATAACTACAGACAGATGAGCATTAGATTTTTTTTTTTTTTAGTCTCAGGGTAGATTTCTTCATGGGATCTAGGAACAAGATCACAAAGAACTGGACTGCCATTCCATAATCAGCGGCAGTCCAAAGAAGAAAAGGCCTTGAATAACCTGTCCCCTTTAGTACACATCTCCCTCTTGAGGCTGCTAATTTTGTCGGGCTCTTACAAGCTGGATGGGCCAGGCTTCAAGATCAGACAGCTGACTTCTCAGTTTTGAACTGCCATCCTAACTAAGTGACTGTCAATGATTTGACTTCTCTATTGACTTGGTGATCTCTGATCTGCTGGGCAGCTGAAGTCACCACCTTCACTAACTGTTTTCTGCATATTATGAGCATTTGGTTGGTGTCATTATAAAGTCTCTGGGAACCTGGGAGCCTGAGGACCAGGCCCTGATTCCCGGGGTCCGTATCTTCCCTTGGTTCTGTTCCTGCTCATCTATCAGCTGATCTATTGCAATAGCTTCCTAATTAGTCTCCTGCCTTCTCTCTGACTTCCAGTCTTTTCTCCCTTTTCAAAAACTTCCATTTTCTAAACTGCTTAGCAGGATAGAAAAGCACCACCACCTTCCACTACATAGCCCTTCCACTAGCTATCTCGAGCTAACAGTCTCTCAATCACATCAGTTTTCATGCCTCCATTTGTTTGACCTTGTCCCCTTGTCAAATTGCTGAGCTCTTTTGTGACCTTTAGCCATCACTCAGACATCATCTTCACTCTCATTTATTCAAGAAACATGCACATATGTTGTGTGTGCCAAACACTATGATCGATGCAAGACAAGAGTGCTTGCTTTGTGTCAGCAATGTGCTCAAGAATTTACAAGAATTATCCCAATTCACTCCCATAACAACTTTGTGAAATTACAAAGGTCCACACTCCCACATCCAAAATCTCTTGGAGGCCAGATAATTCAGTACTCAGGGTTTTGCAGATTTTAGAACAGCAATGGGGTGTGCATATCACATATGACATTGCATTCTCTGTGGGCAACACTTCATAATCAAAGGCACTGAAATTTCTGTAGCCTAAGGTATAGTCTCCCTGGAGGAGAGGAAATAAAGACTAAATAGTTCAAGTCTACCGAACTACCAAACGGGTAGTTTTTGCTACCAAAAGGAGGTCAAACTACTAAGTTTGCTAGGAAAGAACAATAAAAATTTTTTTTGAGATTTCAAAATTACTGATAAGTGATTGTGGACCTTGTACTGCTACTGTTGTGTTTTACAGATGGAGAAAGTGAGGCTTGGAGAGAGTGGATCATTTGCCCGAGATTTTGAGGAGCAGAGATTCAAATCAAGGTGGTGCTTCAAATGTTGGGGCTCTCGTCTTGCCCTCCAGACCCGCCTTCTCTGATCCTCCCACTGACCACAGCTCCCCCTGGGCTTGGTGCCGTGGACGTTATGACGGCTCTTCCCTTTCTGGGTTCTAACGGCTGTTTATGTGCCTCCCTTCCTCACTAGACTGCTTCTCAAGGTCGGAGATTTTGTACCTGCAGCCATGCTTTTCCAGTCCCTGGGCCAAGGAAGCACTTCTGTAAATATCTGCTGAATTTGACTAAAAGCTTTACCCCGGACTACCCAGGAGCGAAGGTAATATTAGAGCTATGAGAAGTCCTAAGACTATAAATGCCTGGATTTGTCCCCAGCTATACAATGTCCTATAAGAGTTTGCGGTGCCGATTTTACATGTTGTGCTGAAGCTGGGAATTCTTTCCCAGTGTAGCTAGCAATGGCTTTCTCATCCTTTCTTCCCCACCATTCAACACCCCCCGCACCCCATCATATAGCCCCGTACCACACATTCCCCACCACATACGCATACACACTCACAGACTCATCAGACTTCCAGACTTCTAGCATAAAGACAGTACCTCTCCGTAGAACCTCAGTTTGGTCAGAATATTCTACATATGTAGGAATTTGCTCCACAATGTAGAGAGTGCCTGCGTCAAGGCTATACTTCGGCTTTACCTTCTTCAGGTCCAGGACCATGTACTGATTGTTATAGGTGCCTGAAATATTGGGAGACATGAAGTAGGGTATGGGTATGGATCTACTGGTTAACTCGAAACCTAAACATACGTACCTGCCTAAGAGCTATCCTGCCGGGCCACTTACCAGAGTTGTAGTTTGAAAAGATCTCTGCCCACTGCCTTCCATCATTTGCCATCATATTGGCTACACGAACTCTTTGCCATGCGAGGAGAGACTGGGGTACCACAAGCTTTAGTAGGGTTTTATTATACACGCTGTTTGTGGTCTGTAGCAATATCAAACCACTGCTAAGAATGTAAAAGTCATCCAGAGACTCCAAAAACCCTACAGGAGAGACAATTATACAAATCAGCATACATATAGCTGGTATATTCAACCAACATTATTGGTGTAGAGCTTTGCATACACAATGCATTTTGCAAAGAGTATCAGTTATTATGATCCTTGATCTGCAGTAGCCTCTCTTGGTTTGGGCTCACCTCTGTGTGCTTACTTAGCAGTTGCTTATAAAACGGTGCCAGTGGACCTCTGACCCTAGATTCTCTATTGATATTTTTTGATTTTATAATTTGGACACTAAAAATATCTTAAATCAGGACTATTCCAATTTTCCAAAATGATAAACAGAAATGGATCTCCACTAACTAGGATTTTGCAGGAGAACTTGTAGTGAGGGAGAGGTATTAACAGGGTTCATGGTTGGATAATAAGATTAGGGATGTCCTCTTTCTTCTCTTTCTACTTTTCTGTATTTCCCAAATTTTACATAATGAGTCTATAGGATCTTTAGAAAGAGGAAAAACATCTACACTTACCAGAGGAACTTCCCAAACTTACACCATTTTTATACCACCTTATCATTTCTGCCATATCTGATCACTTGTACTATTATTTACTTACTATTTTTTCCTTAAATTAACTCTCTTGTCAAACTTAAAGTACTTAACTTGTCACATACAATAATATCCGAAGAACTGTGGGGTTAATGTTTTGGCTTTTTTTCCCTCAGGAAACACATTAAATCAAACACATTTCTACTAACATGCAAAAATTACTTGCCCATGGACCACCTAATACCACCTCACCAGCACTATGCAGGCCACACCTGGAGAAACACCAACGGATCTGAAGCTTTTGTGTTCGCGAAGAACAAGATGAGGCTCAGAGAGGTGAGGACACCTGTCCAGGACCATACAGCCAGCTTGACCCAGTCCAGCACTCTTTCCACTAAGTGTGAACTCCTATGCTCAGCCTTCATGGCTTTCCTTCTTCTGGCTTAATGAAGGCTGGAGGAGAAAAGCTTCATGGAGGAAGCAGACCTGGAACTGAGTCAGGAAGCTTGTATAAGAGCTGACTAGGGGGCACCTGGGGGCTCAGTCAGCTAAGTGACCGACTCTTGGTTTTGGCTCAGGTCATGATCTCATAGTTGTGAGATGAAGCCCGTGTGCGGCTCTGTGCTTAGCATGGACTCTGCGGGAGATTTTTTTTTTTAAAGATTTTATTTATTTATTTGAGACAGAATGAGAGAGAGAGAGAGCTCATGAGAGGGGGCAGGGTCAGAGGGAGAAGCAGGCTCCCCGCCGAGCAGGGAGCCTGATGCGGTACTCGATCCCGGGACTCCAGGATCATGACCTGAGCCGAAGGCAGTCGCTTAACCGACTGAGCCACCCAGGCGCCCCTCTGCGAGAGATTCTTTTCCCCTCCTTCTCCCTCCCCCTCTTCTCCTCCCCAAACTCACTCTCTAAAATAAATAAATAAAATCTTAAAAAAAAAAGTTGACTAGGTAGAGAGCAGTGAGCACCACAGGTATGAACAAAGATGTACAGCAAGAATAGATGTGGCATAAGAGATTGGAAGTTTGGGGAGGTGGAAGCAAAGAAACATTAGAAAATAGAGTTGGCCAAGGAAGGCATCAAGATGGCCAATAGACACATGAAAAGAGGCTCAACATCACTCATCATCAGGGAAATGCAAATCAAAACTGCAAGGAGATACCACCTCACACCTGTCAAAATGGTTAAAAATCAAAAACTCAAGAAACAGCAACTGTTATTGAGGATGTGGAGAAAAAGGAATGCTTCCTTGTGCACTGTTGGGGGGAATGCAAACTGGCGCAGCCAATGTGGAAGACAGTATGGACGGTCCTCAAAAAGTTAAAAATAGAACTACCCTGTGATCTAAGAATTGCACTACAGAATAGTTACACAAAGAATATGAAAATATTAATTCGAAGGGATACATACACCCCTGTTTATTGTAGCATTATCTACAATAGCGATGATATGGAAGGATCCCAAGTGTTCATCGATAGAAGAATGGGCAAAGAAGAGGTGGTGTATACATACAGTGGAATATGATTCAGCCATCAAGAAGAATGAAATTGCCATTTGCAACGACATGAATGGAGCTAGAGAGTAGTATGCTAAGCGAAATTAGGTTAGAGAAAGACAAATACCATATGATTTCACTTATATGTGAAATTTAAGAAACAGAACAAATGAACAAAGGCGAAAAAAAAGATAAACCAAAAACCAGACTCCTAATTATAGAGAACAAACAGATGGGTACCAGAGGGGAGGTGGGTGGGGGGTATGGGTGAAAGAGGTGATCGGGATTCTTTCCTTGTGATGAGCACCGATTAATGCATAGAATTGTTGAATCACTATATTGTACACCTGAAACTAATATAACACTTCATGTTAAGACACTGGGATTAAAATTAAAAAAAAAAAAGAAAATATAGTTGGACAGTCGTTCATTTATTCATTCAACGAACAAACTACTGTGCATCTTCTCTAGGCCTGGTAGGGATAGGTGGGGTGCTATCAAATAATGGGATCACCTGAAGCTAAAGCTACGACCTCAGAGCCTCAGTGGGAGTCAGGAAGCCTGCATTTTTGTTCCCTGCACCACAACTAACAGATTTGGCACTTTTTATTTTATCTCTCTGTTCCTTATTCCCTTCCTCTGATAACCTGGGACTAAGTGATGTCATGCAGCGCTAACTGTGTAATTTTAATTTCTGGAAATTATTGAGTAGGAAAGTTACGTGATGAGGGTAGTGTCCAACCGACTCATAATGAACCTCCACAAGGCTGTCATTGGCCTATTAGAAGTTCGTATAAATGATAGAAGGTTGCACATTGCCCGTGGGATAAGTAAGGCTTGATGAGTGCATGGCATCCTTGAGTGAAATTTTCATGGGCAACTCCTCTTGGAAGATACAGCCTGGACACTGGATGCATGGCTTCACAAGCATAGTGTGGGATGGGTTTCAATGACCATTCATTCACCTCTCAGGCTGGGGTCATTTTGCAGTGTTCAAACTGTACAACCATATTTGGCTGCCTTGGGCAAGCTCCCTGGTGGAAGAGCCCTATAGAGTGGAATGTCGTATTTCTGGCATAATAAACTTGCTAATCCACTCCTTGTAGCAACCTCTATGAACACAAGAGGGCAGGCGTTCTTTAATATGTGTGAGTGACTACTACTAACATGTAAGGAGCCGTGGTTCCTCCAAGAGCAAGACTGTTTATTACAGATGGAAAAATGTAGGCCACCCAGAGTTCTGGAACAAAGAGAATGAATTGGCTTGCAAAACAACTCTAGTCAAGATGGTTAATTCTATAGTTTAGAGCTTAAGATGAAATAAAAAGGAAAAGGCCAAGTGGGGACAAAATCCTGAAGCATTACAAGAGAAACAAATGTTCTTTGGCAGTGTCAAATTATATTCTTGCTTTTATCTGTCATTAGCAGCTTTGAAAGGCAGACAATTTTAGATCAGGAGGAAGTGAAACACTCAAGTATGAAAGCCAGGCTGCAAATAACATTTCATAGTAAGTTCATTGCCGAATTTAATTAAGAAATAAAAGGGAACCCTGACAGTTAATAAATCTCAAGACTTAAAACAAATCACTTGAATCACAAAAATAAACAGAGACCACTACCCTCTGATGCCATTTAGACCTATTGCTTAGTACAACCCAGAAAAAATGTAGCCTTATTGTCCTATCAGGTGCATTTAAACTGCGCCCATTTCCACATTGCATTAATTTGCAGCTGCAAAGCCCCAAAGACCAAACGCCCTCATTTTATCCCCAAAGAGTAGAATCAGTGTTGACCAAGAACGTAAATAACACACAAGTCAGCATCAGGAGTATGGATCATGTTTATAAAAATAGCTGTGCTTCATTTCTTCACACACACACACACACACACACACACACACACACACACACACCACCCTCCATATTCTCTGCAATGTGACCTTGCAGCGTCTCCCATCAAAAGATGCATGTTTCCCCATCTCCTCAATCTGGGCTGGATTTGGGACTTGCTTCAGCTAACAGAATGTGCCAATTCCTAGGCTAAGCCTCAAGAAACCTTGCACACTTCTGCTTACTCTCCTGGAACCTTGGTATTGTCTTGTAAAGAAGCCCTGCTGAGCCTGGTCTCTAGGTGAGAGGCCATGTGGAGGAGGACCAACCATCTCAGCCAAGGTCAAGTTCTAGCCTGCCAACCCCCAAGCGTGCAAGGGAGTTCTTCCAACCTCAGCAGAGCTGCACACCCACTCCATAGACAGCCACAGAGGCATGAACGTGAGCAGCTGAGGTGTCTAGAAAGAGCCACTTAGCTGACCTGTGGACTCAAAAGCAATAGTAATCACATATTGTTTCTAGCCACAAAGTTTTGGAGGTTATTTTTTATACAGAAAAAGCAAACTGATCCAATAATAAAAATAATCCAATTATACAACATATTTTGTTTTCAAAGGTCTTACTGCCATTTGATTTTAACACAAGTGGATATGACACTTGGGGACCTCTCTGGTCTTCCTTTCCTCTTTTAACGAAAAGCAAAATAACTTTGTACCATGTTCTCCGCCTTTCTGCTTAGCTTCTTCCCACTACTGAAGAGGGACAGTATCACTTCTCCGCCCTGTGGAGCGCACCAGCCTGGGCTGGGCTGTCTGCCTTCTCCGAGCCAGTGTGGCAACCAGCCAGTAAGTGTGTATTACACACAGAGCATATCCCAAGCACTGTGCGGTAATTCCCAGTTCAGAGATGATATGAGAATTCCCTCAGGAGCTCTTCCCTCAGACCGCCCTCCCTGCTCCCCTCGGCTCCCCTCAGAGCCTCCACCAGAACCCCTGCAGCTGGTGGCTCTTCTCCTTCCTCACTCTTGGGAAGGGAGGCCTGTGGAGCTCCCTGGTATCCCAGGACACAAAATCCTACAGCCATTTATTTTGCCTGCTCAATAAGGGACTCCGTCTTCCCACCTTCCAGAGTGGCATTTGCTTGTCTTCCTGCCAAGATCCTAACTGG